AGGATCATACACCATAATCAAGTGGGATTTATCCCAGGGATGCAAGGATTTTTCAGTACTTGCAAATCAATCAAAGTGATACATTACATTAACAAATTGAAGGATAAAAGCCATATGGTCATCTCAATAGATGCACAAAATGCTTTGATAAAGTTCAACATCCATTTATGATAAAAAATCTCTAGAAAGTGAGCATAGAGGGAGCATACCTCAACACAGTAAAGACCATTTATGACAAACTCATAGCTAACATCATGTTCAATGGTGAAAAGCTGAACACATTTCCTCTAAGATGAGGAACAAGACAAGGATGTTTACTCTCACCACTTTTTAAAAAAAAATTCATGTTTATTGAGGTATAATTACATATAAGGAAATTCACCCAATTTATGTGTACAATTCAATGAGTTCTGACCTATGTGGTCGTGTAAGTACCACCACATAAAAATATGGCACATTCCATCACCTCCCCCAAACTTCCCTCATATCCTTTTGTGTTCAGTAATCTCCGTTTCTCTTGCAATCACTGATCTGATTACTGCACAATAGGTTTGCCTTTTCCAGAATGTCACTGTGATGGTTAATTCTATATATCGACTTGTATGGGCCAGAAGCATGCCTAGATACTCTCACCACTTCTGTTCAACATAGTTTTGGAAGTGCTAGCCACAGCAGCCAGAGAAGGAAGAGAAATAAAAGGAATCCAAATTGGAAAAGAAGAAGTAAAACTGTCACTGTTTGCAGATGACATGATACTGTACAGAGAAAATCCTAAAGACACCACCAGAAAACTACTAGAGCTCATCAATGAATTTGGTAAAGTTGCAGGATACAAAATTAATATACAGATATCTTTGCATTTCTATATAACAATGAACTATCAGAAACAGAAACTAAGGAAGCAATCCCATTTACAATCACATCAAAAATAATAAAATACCTAGGAAGAAACCTACCTAAGACCTGTACTCAGAAAACTATAAGACACTTTTGTAAGAAATTGAAGATAACACAAACAGATGAAAAGATATTACGTGTTCATGGATTGGAAGAATCATTATTGTTAAAATGACCATACTACCCCAGGCAATCTATATATTCAATGCAATCCCTATCAAAATATCAATGGCATTTTTTTCACAGAACTAGAACACAATTTTAAAATTTGTATGGAAACACAAAAGACCCTGAACAGCCAAAGCAATGTTGAGAAAGATGAACAGATCCAGAGGTATTATGCCCTGACTTCAGACTGTACTACAAAGCTACAGTAATCAAAACAGAATGGTACCTACACAAAAACAGACACATAGATCAATGGAACAGAATAGAGAGCCCAGAAATAAACCCACACATTTATGGTCAATTAATCTATGACAAAAAAAGCAAGAATGTACAATGGGGAAAAGCACTCTCTTCAATAAGTGGTGCTGGGAAAACTGGACAGCTACATGCAAAAGAATCAAACTGGACTACTTTCTCACACCATATACAAAAATAAATTCAAAATGGATTAAAGACCTAAATGTAAGATTGAAAACCATAAAACTCCTAGAAGAAAACATAGGCAGAACACTCTTTGATATTAATCATGGCAATATGTTTTGGATCTATCTCCTAAGATAAAGGGAAACAAAAGCAAAACTAAACAAATGGACTTAGAAAGCTTTTGCACAGCAGAGGAAACCATTGCGAAAATGAAAAGACAATCTACTGAATGGGAAAAAAATATTTATAAGTCATATGACCGACAGGGGGTCAGTCACATGTGAGATTATATATGTGTGTGTGTGTGTATATCACATCACATCTTTATCCATTCATCTGTTGATAGAACTGGAATATTACTCAGCCATAAAAAGATGAAATATTGCCATTTGCAACAACATGGATGGACCTGAAGAGTATTATGCTTAGTGAAATAAGTCAGAGAAAGACAAATACTATATGTTATCACTTATATGTAGAATAATCTAATAAACAAAAGAATGAATATAACAAAACAAAAAGACACAGATATAGAGAACAAATTAGTGGTTACTAGTAGGTAGAGGGAAGGCAGGGAGGGGCAAAATAGGGACGGGGATTAAGAGTTACAGACTACCATATATAAAATAGATAAGCCACAAGGATATATTGTAGAGCACAGGGAATATAGCCAATATTTTATAATAACTTTAAATGGAGTATAATCTATAAAAATATTGAATCATTATTTTGTAGACCTGAAATTAATATATATTGTAAATCAACTATACCTCAATAAAAAATTTTATATTGCAAATCTATGTTTTTCCCAAACATTGTTGAAATATACTTTTTAAAGTCTATGACATTTGTTAGGCCATGCCCATTGTTTTCTTTTCTTACTATTCTTAATATTAGGTAATTTGTTCACTTTATTTCAAGGTTCTGGCTTAAATGATGTTGAGGATATCAGTTGTAATTATGCTGCTTCTACCTTCTGCGCAATACATTTGTTAGATAGGAAATAGAGAGTTTAGTAGATATTCTACCCTTTGAATTAGACTTCTATTAGAAGATATCAGGATAATTGAAACCTCTTTTTCCTCTTTGTAGTATATTTTGGTATGAGTTTTGTAATGTTTTTTTGGGAAAGTATCATCCATATTTCTTTTCTGGATAGATCAGCTGTGGTATGCTACTGTATAGTATAAAAAGGTTTTCTTTCTATTTCCTCAGTTTTACTGTTTACCATACTTTACTATTAAGTTTTTGAGTTTCTATATAGGAGTAACTTCTGGAAAGATCAGTGGATTTGGCTTTGAAAATTTCTGGATTTGGGGACTGACCATGATATGTGAACTTGAGCAAGTCACTTATGCTTTGTGGACCTCAGTTTTTCCATATATAAATTAGGGATAATAATATTACTCATTATCATTTAGGATTACAAAACAGATTAGGATTTCAAAAATACATGACTGACTGTTAATGGTTTATACAAATAGTGCTTTCATGTTACATAACAAGAAACAAAAGATAGGCAGTCTAGCACAAGTATGGTAGCTCAATAATGACGTTAGGGGACTTAAGCTCTTCCCATCTTCCTGTTCACCATCCTTAGTGCATAAGACCTTTGCCCTCTTGCTTCCTGATTCATTGCCACAAAATGGCTACTATAACTTTGTGTTTTAGGCATAAAGAATAGGAAGGACTAAAGGGCTGAAGGAAAAAAAGCTGGTCTTAGTGAAGTTCTGTCTTTTAATTTGGCCAGGGAGGTCCTACTACTGATGTGTGCCTGCAGCTTATTGGCCAGAAGCATGTTACATGGCCACTCTTTGCTTCAAGGAAAGCTGGGGAATTATATATTTTAGCTCTTCAGTCTCTGTAGTAGAGGAAGGCAAAGGAGAAGGGATTGTGTTTAGGATTTGGGTCAGCTAGTCAACAACGTCTGCTTTCATTGATGGTTGGAAGAATTCAATGGTACACTGTATTTAAAAAATTTTACAGAGTGTAACTTAAATAGATGTATACTGTATTCATTATTCCTCTTACCTTCTATTGATGATCTTATAAACTAGAGTGTATTCTTAAATTTATTCTAATTTTTTATTCAAGGCTCAGAAAATCTATGAGATTATTACTTACTTGATTGTTAAATGCGTGCACCTTATTGCCTACATCCTAGAAATTAGTATAAATACGTTTAGGCATAAATATTGCATTATTTCCAACCAGCTCCTCTATTTTTATCTAAGAATGAGTGAGGACCATTCTTACATCTGGCTAATCTTTGTCAACCACACATCCTAATGCTCAGAAGGTAGAAGAAGTTGTCATGGGTTTGTTTTTATATCTGATCTTCTCTTTTAGGGCTCTTTTGATGTGTTTGAAAATCTTTTGCACAGAGTGATGATCAGCCCTGCATGTCACATGCCCTATTTTCTCTTAGGTGTCATTGATATTGCTTAAAGAGCCAAAACTTTCCTATTGGTACCATTGACATGGGCATTAGTTTTTCTTTTCCAAAGCCGTTGGTGTCAGTAGTGGCAGAGCAATTTTTTTATTTTTAGCACTTTTTTTCCCTAAAATCCTTCAGTTTGTTACGTAAAACTTGAAAGTTTCTAGAGTTGTCATTCCGATTGCTGCTGATAATATCATTTGTCCCTATGATAATCAGCTGAGTTATCTTTTAATTTGTAAAAATAAACAAGTTACTTCAGGACATAAAAGGTCCTTGCTTTTTGGGCAGCATTCTAGATGAATGTTTGTTTTTGAGAAGGGCTGTTTTCTGGAGAATACATATGCTTTGAGTGAAAATCATACTGAAGTGTGAAAGGCAGCCTATCACTAATAGGAAAGTAATTGGGAAAGAGGCAGTTCTCCAAAGTGACTCTAGCCCTACTCTTGCTTTCTTCAGTGACCCACAAAATACTTTTATATACTTTATATATTTAAAGGGCAATTAATGAGTCTGAATATACTCAGAGGTACATGAAAAATAGCAGTAGAAGTCCTAAGCAGCTATACCACAGAATGGCAGCTTTCATTTGAGCTGAATGGGCTGGGTGGGGGGTAAATTTGAAAACAGGCCAAGTATCCTGAATACACATGCTGGTGCTATCACCCAGTCCTACAGCCTGAAGTAGAGGGAATGACCTTCATAGTCACTAGTATTCAGGCAAGGTCGTATTATTTTTCTCCATGGTAAAATGTGTTAAGTAAAGGGACCAGGAGGCACATAAGTCCTGGATGTGAGCTCAGAAGGGGAATGGAGGAGTGAGAATCTTAAATGAGGTCAGAGAAAGCTAAGAAACAGAAATCTCCAGAGAATTTGGAGATGACCAGAGAAACTTGTAGGATGCATCATGAAGTAGGAGACCCTTCAGGTTTATTATTTCTGAATCTCTTCACTTTGATGAAAATGCTGGTAGTTTATAAATTCTGTCATATTGGGTGCAACAGGACTTTGATGTGTATATGGCTTCTGTTTTGTTTTGTTTTTTGCTGCCTGTATTCTTTCTTTCTTTTCTTAGACATTGTTCGAAGTGATGTTGCCTTGGATAAACAGAAAGGCTGCAAGATTGCCCAGCACCCTGATGTTATGCTGGAGCTCCAACGGGAGAAGGCAGCTCAGATGCATCTGGTTCTTCTAAAGGAGCAATTCTCCAATACTTACAGTAATCTCGTATTAACAGGTAAGGCTATTGGCGTTGGCTGGAATCTTAGAGCACTGTAGATTGATGGTCTCCATCAGTTAGCAACTTGATGCTTGGGAGACACTAAAGTGGGATTCAGATGAGCTGCATCTGTCTGTCTTTTCCCACTTATCCCTTTTAAAATTGTGATGACTCTTATATTCATATAAAATATTTATTACATTTTGCAGATGTATTTTGGCTTGAGGTTATGGGCGGTTCAGCATGTGTGTTCTCAAAAGAGAGAACCAATGAAAACCTAATGAAGCCTTGTAAAAATATGACTTTTTAGATGTGTGCCAATAGATTTGAGAAAATTACTAAATTTGGTGTCTAAGAAGCAGCTATTTTCCTCTTTCTGTGTATGCCCTTTCTGTGAACCCAGTGAATATAAAGATGAAATGTAAAAGAGATAATGATCCACAGGCAGAGCTGAGAATGTTCTATATTCTTGGTGGAGTTTGAAAATATCTAGGGAATTTGATTTACTTTTTAAGAACAAAGAGGCTATGAGACTGAGCCATACTCCTTTACATCCTTGGTTCTAGGAGGGAAATGAATATATGTGAGAGCTCAAAGGAGAAACAGTTTTTGCAGGGCTGCTGCAGACTTTGCTGGTAAAGAGCATGTGAGTTGCATGCCTTTGTCAAGCTTCGGAAAAAAATTCTAATAGCACACTCTAATGTGAGAATCATGTAGGACTTGGATGAACTAAGAAGAGCAGTCTGAGTTACCTCCATTTTCTTAAGGGAATGCAAGGCAGATCTGCATTATCTTGATTCAAATAAATTTTAATAAATCAAAGTGTGTGTTTTCCCTTGTTTATGAATATTAAAAAAATAAAAAGATGGAATGCCTGACAGGCTATGAACATCTCACACTTATTTTTGTAAACTCCAAGTTAGGAAAATTAAAAAAATTTTTACAGGCTTCCTGGCATTTCACCATGTTGCTTCCAGCAACCAGGTTGTTTTGCTTTTGAAAAAGCACAAGTCTCTTCTGACTCTACATCTGTACCTGGTGGAAAACTCAGCAGCATGAGATGAAAGCCAGATTTAAATGTGGCTTTGGAGAGCAGAGAAGAGGATTATAGATTTCATAAGTATAGGCCCTATTTTTTGTTCTTTGATAGGTCATTAAGGAAGGAAAACTTAAAAATGATTTATGGCTAATAAATCCTAAATTGGTTAGTGAAACTGTGTTTAAGTTTAGATGTTTGGGAAGAACATATTTTTCTCCAAATTTCTTCAGTCTACCTCAAATGTACAAATAGTAAATGTATATAGTATTTTCCAATTCAGTTATTGGAAATGCAGTATTTTAAGCTATCCTTATTCTAATATTTTTAGGCATACATTAGAGATGTCAGACCCTGTGTTCTTTAATGTGGCATAGAAAGAGCTTAGGGTAATTCTAATCCTAAACTGTGCATCCAGAGTGTGGCTTGAAGGCATATTATCTTTGAAAACACAAGTGCTCTATTGAGTTCAATGGAATCTTTTCTAATTCTCAGTAACATAATCCCTTTGGATGTTTATTCTCAGTTCAAACTGTTGGAATCAACATTGTCAACTTTTATCCTGACAACTTGCTTACTTTCTACTAAACAAACTTACCCTAGAGAAGAGCCTCTTTCCTGCTCTCACTTCTCCCAAGCTGCTTCAAAGAGCCCTCAGGCATTTTCCACATTTTTCACCCAAATGCCTGTTGCAGAGGTGGTACCTTGCTGCAGACAGAGCATTTGGTGTGCCCTGGGTTGTTTACGTGAAAGTTCAAAAGGTTTTGGTGCCAGGTGTTGAGAAGAGATGGAGTCATTTCATTTTAGCAACAATGGTAAAACTATTTTACTATCCTTTAACTAAGTCTTTGATTTTACACAGTGTAGTTTTCTAATTGTTATGAAGTTTAATCCTTGATTTCTTGTATAAATTTTGAGAACATGGTCTCCAGACAGCTAAACATAATATTTAAACATAACTAAACTAACTTCTGTAAATATTTCCCTTTTCGGTGATGAATGTATATTGGTAAGGAGGGTGAGGTTGAAGGGGCAGAGACCTCTCAAATGAAGTGACTTTCTTTACCAACATGTTCAGAACACCTACCCTAGGATTTCTGCTTGGTGATGTTTTACTTATTTTGTATTACTCTGGCATGTTTGAAATGTCTGCCATGAAAGTATGTGGGAACAGGATGAGGAAACTGGGCCTCCAAAATCTCAGAAAGAGATCATTTTTTTTTTTTTTTTTTTTTTTTTTGCGGTACGCAGGCCTCTCACTGTTGTGGCCTCTCCCATTGCGGAGCACAGGCTCTGGACGCGCAGGCTCCACAGCATGTGGGATCTTGCCGGACCGGGGCACGAACCCGTGTCCCCTGCATCGGCAGGCGGACTCTCAACCACTGCGCCACCAGGGAAGCCCAGAGATCACTTTTTAATGTCTCTGCTCTCCCCTCAACCCCTCTCCCCAATTATTTACAGAATTTCATGTATATGTGTAGCAGTGTATCATGATTGTTTCCTGTTAGTGGTCAGTTAGTGGTATAGTCTTTATTTTTAAATTGGACAACTAAGTTAACAGTAGAGGAAAAAAATAAAGTGATTGAAATGTCAGTATAGTAAGAAATTAATAAAGTGATGGAAATGGCAGCTGCTTAAAAGCTTATTAAAAATGGTGGCTCTTGCCCTTCACCTCACAAGCAAGCCCTCATTCTTAGGTGTTCCATCTTTAGCTGATCTGTCAGCATTGAGGTGAGAGGTATGCCTTCATATTCTGCATTCTAGCTTGTGATCTCTCTTAAACAGCCATCCTTCAGATGAGGGCAAATGATATTCTAGCTTTGAGGATCTTCTGAACATTTAATAAAAGGAAAACAACTCTACAGTTCTAGTGACAACCCAGTTAATGGAAACACGTGGTTCTTATTGTATAATATTGTTTTAAAAATGGATTGTATTTTTGCATGATATTAAACATGTCTTAATATCTTCATGTGAATGATTTACATGGTATTGGAAGTAATGTTAGCCTCACCTATTCTGGAGGGTTTTTGAAGTAAACTCTAAGGTTATGTGAAGGTGATGGAGGAATTCCAGGAGAACATCAATGATAGAACTATGTTAAATATGCTGCACTTTTTTACACTGACTCACCAACACATGCATGTAATCTTGTCCTGTAGCTTCTTGAATCTGAGAGTATTAAGTGTCACTGTGCATGTTACTCAAGGAGTGATAAATGAAAGGGAGAGTTTGGTAGGTGACTTTAAGAAAGAACAGTGATCATGTCTTCTGTATCTTTGTGCTCTCATGATTCTTAATGTGATAATGCTCTGTAAGTTTGTTGAAAATGTTCTGCTGTGTACACATTGTAAGTTCACTCAAAGACTACTTTTTAAGGGTTAATTTGGACATCTATTAAATAACTGTTTATAGGTTTGAACTTAGTTATTTGTCTCTCCTCCCCTGGCGAACCCCCCTCTTTTGAGGTATAAATTGAACTTTTGTGGCGGATGCCTGTACTATAATCAAATGAAAAACAGAAAAAAAGTTAAAAGCCAGCCTTAAGGGGCAATACACTTTCTAGGATTTTCTTTAGAACATAAACTCCCAGAAGGCAAGGAATATTATATTCGTGCTGCATTCTGCATAGTAATTAGAACATAGTGAATGATCCTGTAATGAAGTCAACTTTTAAAAAATTTGTGTTGTGAAGTCATCTAGTCAACTCTTGTTTCCAGGTAGCCTGAACCGTATAGCCATTATAAATGGATGGCATTACTCAAGATGCTTTCCAAAATTCCTTTATGAGGACTCTTGTTATGTTATTGTCTGCTACTTATGGTTTTGTACCTCTTCTTTCAGTCATTAGATTCCAAAATATACTGAGATTCCTGTGGTTAGCTTTATTGTATTACTGTGGTAAATGAATTGAGCAAAAGAGGCTCATACTTCCTTGTTGTGGCCAATCTTTCTAACTTCAGTTGAGCAAAGGGCCCAAATAAGTGTTCTTTCAGTTCTCAAAGGACTATATCCAGGTCTGTTTAATTATTTGCATTATATTCCATAGTATTGAATGTAACATACTTTATTTTACCATTTCCCTATTAATGTATATTAATTTCTATGCATATTTACACATTTATTTCTGTAGAATAGATTTCTGAAAGTGGATGTCTGGGTCAAAAGATACATATTTTTAAATTTTATGAATTCAGGTTTATTGAGGTGTAATTTACATTATAGTATAAATAAATTTGGACAGGTTAATATATTATAGAGTCATATAGCTGTCATCACCATCAAGATATAGAACATTTCCGTCACCTTAAAAATTCTTTTGTCTCCCTTGGCAGTCACTCTCCTTTCTCAGCCTTAGCTGTGTCTGATCTGATATTTTTCCCTAAATGTCATATCAATGGAAAAATAAAGTAGTTGTGTGTGTTTGATTGTTTTCACTTAGCATGATGTTTTTGAGATTCAGTCATCCTTTTGCATTTATTAGCAGTTCATTTCTTTTTGTTGCTGAGTAATATTTCATGTTAAGAATATCCTACAATTTATTTATCCATGCATCTGTTGATGGACATTTGGTTTATTTCTAGCTTTTGGTGATTATGAATAAAGCCACTGTAGACATTTACTCTCAGATCTTTGTGTTGACATATGTTTTCATTTCTCTTAGGTAGGTACCTAGGAGTGGGATTGCTTGATTTTATGATGCCTGTTTATAAGAAACTGTCAGACTGTTTTCCAAAGTGGCTGTACTATCTGGCATTCCACCAACAGTGTGTATGAGTGCTAGATATTCCATATCCTTGCCAATAATTAGTATTGTCTGTCTTTTAAATTTTAGCTATTTTAGTGGGTACGTAGTAGTAATATCTTTTGGTTTTAATTTGCAGTTTACCTTATGACTAATGATATTGAGTATCTGTTCTTTGCTTATTTGCTATCTATATATCTTCTTTGGTGAAGTGTCTGTTCAAACCTTTTGCCCATT